TATATTGAAGCAACATCTCAAGACATCAGTCAGGAAGTTAAAGCTTGGTCACAAATGGGTCTTCCAAATGGACAATGACCCCAAGCATACTTCCAAAGTTGTGGCAAAATGGCTTAAGGACAACAAAGTCAAGGTATTGGAGTGGCTTTCACAAAGCCCTGACCTCAATCCTATAGAAAATGTGTGGGCAGAACTGAAAAATCGTGTGCGAGCAAGGAGGCCTACAAACCTGACTCAGTTACACCAGCTCTGTCAGGAGGAATGGGCCAAAATTCATCCAACTTCTTGTGGGAAGTTTGTGGAAGGCTACCCGAAACGTTTGACCCAAGTTAAACAATTTAAAGGCAATGCTACCAAATACTAATTGAGTGTATGTAAACTTCTGACCCACTGGGAATGTGATGAAAGAAATAAAAGCTGAAATAAATCTCTACTATTATTCTGACATTTCACATTCTTAAAATAAAGTGGTGATCCTAACTGACCTAAGACAATGAATTTTTACTAGGATTAAATGTCAGGAATTGTGAAAAAGTGAGTTTAAATGTATTTGGCTAAGGTCTATGTCAGGGGTGTCAAACTCATTTTAGCTCAGGGGCCACATGGAGGAAAATCTATTCCCAAGTGGGCCGGACCGGAAAAATCATGGTATATATATAACTTAAAAACAACAACTTCAGATTGTTTTCTTTGTTTTAATACGATCAACATACAACATAAAGCTGGAGCCTGAGGACAGTGTGTCCAAAATAGTACAAGCACAACATCACTATTAATCATAAAACACGTCAAGTTTATTTGAAAATTCTAAAGAAAAAGAACACACAAACACACAATGCCTCAGTGATTAACAGAACTGTTTCACAGATCACAGAACTATATCAGGGTGTCATTTCTCAGGCAGAAATGTAGATAAAAATAATGAAATCCTGTTCCCCAAACAAGTGCAAGAACCACAGAGTCAAGAATAGGTTAAATATACAAATAAAATAAAAACAATTAAAAACAATAGCACATCAACATAAAAACATATAAACATAAAGCTGGAGCCTGAGGACAGTGTCCAAAAGCACAACATCACTATTAATCATAAAACACCTCAAGTTATTTGAAAGTTCTGAGGACAAAGAACACACAAACACACAATGCCTCAGTGATTCACAGAAGTATATCACAGATCACAGAACTATATCAGGGTGTCATTTCTCAGGCAGAAATGTAGATAAAAATAATGAAATCCTGTTCCCCAAACAAGTGCAAGAACCACATAGTCAAGAATAGGTTAAATATACAAATAAAATAAAATCAATTAAAAACAATAGCACATCAACATAAAAACATATAAACATAAATCTGAAAGCGTTGCTCAAACTCCCGTAACAGTCCATTTATTTTATCTTTGAACCGCTTCATGTCTGCCACATGTTGGGTCGCGCACACATTTTTCAGACAGGGGAAGTGAGCTGCATCACCACCGGCAAGTTGCGTCTCCCACAATGACAGCTTCAACTTGAAAGAACGTATGCTGTCATAATACTGCGTGACAACTTTGTTGCGCCCTTGCAGCTGTTTGTTCAAGTTATTCAGGTGCTCTGTAACATCCACCATAAATGCAAGGTCCGGCATCCATTCTGCGGAATGAAATTCTAACACTGGTTTGCCCTTTTCTTCCATGAACTGTTCAATTTCTTCTCGTAAATCAAAGAAACGCCTCAGCGCAGCACCTCGGCTTAACCATCTTACCTCAGTGTGGTATGGCAGGCCATAGATGTGGTCTTTCTCTCTGAGAAGGCTGTCAAACTGACGGTGATTCAGGCTTCTGGATCGGATGAAATTAACAGTTTGGATGACCACCTTCATGACGTTATCCATCTTTAATGACTTGCAACACAAAGCCTCCTGGTGCAAAATACAGTGAAAAGTCAAAAAATCACGTCCTCCATTTGCAGATTGCACTTTCTCTCTGAACTTTGTCACAACGCCTGCTTTTTTCCCGATCATTGAGGGCGCACCATCTGTAGCCAGGCTGACAGCGCGGGACCAGTCCACTCCGACCCTGTCCAGCGCGCCGACGAGTGCGGTAAAAATATCAGCTGCTGTCGTTGTATCTGTCATCGGCACCAACTCCACGAACTCCTCGGTGACGGTCAATGTGTCATCAACTCCGCGGATGAAAAAATGGCCAGTTGTGCAACATCTGTAATGTCCGTGCTTTCATCAATTGACACCGAAAACGCAATAAATGACTTTACTTTTTGCTTCAACTGGCTGTCCAAATCCACTGAAAGATCGGAAATCCTGTCTGCAACTGTGTTTCTTGTCAGGCTGATATTAGCAAAAGCCTGCCGCTTTTCAGGGCACACAATCGCCGCTGCCTTCATCATGCATGTTTTTACAAATTCACCCTCACTAAATGGTTTTGAAGCCACTGCGATTTCATTAGCAATGAGGTAGCTAGCTTTCACTGCAGCGTCACTGATGTCTCGGCTGTGAGTAAACACAGACTGCTGTTTCTTCAGACCCACCAACAGTTCATTCACCTTCTCTCATCTCCGCTGTCCTTGAAAGTTGTCATATTTGTCGGCATGAAGACTCACATAGTGGCGACGAAGGTTATATTCTTTCAGCACTGCAACATGCTCTGAACACACCAAACATACAGCTTTCCCATAGGATGACCATTTTTCTTGGAACACTCTGCACTCTGCGTCCACTTTTCTATTTTTTGACAGAGACATATTGGGGCAATGAGGGTGCCAAAGCACATAATGTTAAAAGTAGAAGCCGTAATAAATATCGCGGGCAAAACAAAGTAGCTCATTGGCTGCACGTGCTTGACCTACTTGCTCTGCCCCGGTATAAACAGTTTGCTTGCTTAACGGGGCGGCAGGTAGCTTAGTGGTTAAGAGCGTTGTGCCAGTAATCGAAAGGTCGCTGGTTCTAATCCCCGAGCCGACTAGGTGAAAAATCTGCCGATGTGCCCTTGAGCAAGGCACTTAACCCTAATTGCTCATGTAAGTCGCTCTGGATAAGAGCGTCTGCTAAATGACGTAAATGTAATGTAAATGTAACACAATTGCTATTGCGCCATCCAGTGGACGCAATTGGAACAGCAGTTTATTTTATTGAAAAATTGCAGCGCATTTTTATACTTTACAATTGTTTTTTATTTATTTTTTCCTTCTTAATGTGTTTGGCCAATCAGTTGTGTTGTGACAAGGTAGGGGTGTTATACAGAAGATAGCCCTATTTGGTAAAAGACCAAGTCAATATTATGGCAAGAACAGCTCAAATAAGCAAAGAGAAATGACAGTCCATCATTACTTTAAGACATGAAGGTCAGTGAATCCGGAACATTTCTTAAAGTGCAGTCGCAAAAACCATCAAGCGCTATGATGAAACTGGCTCTCATTAGGACCGCCACAGGAATGGAAGACCCAGAGTTACCTCTGCTGCAGAGGATAAGTTCATTAGAGTTAACGGCACCTCAGATTGCAGCCCAAATAACTGCTTCAAAGTTCAAGTAACAGACACATCTCAACATCAACTGTTCAGAGGAGACTGTGTGAATCAGGCCTTCATGGTCGAATTGCTGCAAATAAACCATTACTAAAGGACACCACTAAGAAGAAGAGACTTGCTTGGGCCAAGAAACACAAGCAATGGACATTAGACTGGTGGAAATCTGTCCTTTGGTCTGATGAGTCCAAATGTGAGATTTTTGGTTCCAACCGCCGTGTCTTTGTGAGACGCAGAGTAGGTGAACAGATGATCTCTGCATGTGTGGTTCCCACAGTGAAGCATGGAGGAGGAGGTATGATGGTGCTTTGCTGGTGACACTGTCGGTGATTTATTTAGAATTCAAGGCACACTTAACCAGCATGGCTACCACAGCATTCTGCAGTGATACGCCATCCCATCTGGTTTGCGCTAAGTGGGGCTATCATTTGTTTTTCAACAGGACAATGACCCAAAACACAGCTCCAGGCTGTGTAAGGGCTATTTGACCAAGGAGAGTGATAGAGTGCTGCATTAGATGACCTGGCCTCCACATTCACCCGACCTCAACACCTGTTGAATATGGCCGGTGTCAGTAAACGTTGGCAAAAAAGCGTAAATTGTTGCCAGCAGCACAGTTGCAGTCACCAACACTCTGGATAACATAAAAACAGCAAATGGTCAGAGTGAGCTGTTCTCTCATTTGTGTCTGGAAGTAACTAGCAAGCTAGCCAACATTAGCCAATTAGCTTGGGTGCTTGACTGCTGTTGTTAGGACAGAACGCTCGGATCAACCCTTAAAATGAGATGGGTGGGGCTAAAGCTTAAGAGGGTGTGAACGATGCTGAATGGGAGTAGACAAAGAAGAGGTCTCCAGTAGGTGTACCAAAACATTCAAAAGCCATTTTCTCAAAAGTGAGGTTACAAGTTTATCAACTTTCAAAGCAGAATTACTTTCCCATTGTTCCTCAACTGTAGTGTTGGCTACCTGTGCAGGTTGTGGTGTTGGCTACCTGTGCAGGTTGTGGTGTTGGCTACCTGTGCAGGTTGTGCTAGTTGTGGTGTTGGCTACCTGTGCAGGTTGTGGTGTTGGCTACCTGTGCAGGTTGTGGTGTTGGCTACCTGTGCAGGTTGTGCTAGTTGTGGTGTTGGCTACCTGTGCAGGTTGTGGTGTTAGCTACCTGTGCAGGTTGTGATAGTTGTGGTGTTGGATACCTGTGCAGGTTGTGGTGTTGGATACCTGTGCAGGTTGTGATAGTTGTGGTGTTGGCTACCTGTGCAGGTTGTGATAGTTGTGGTGTTGGCTACCTGTGCAGGTTGTGGTGTTAGCTACCTGTGCAGGTTGTGATAGTTGTGGTGTTGGATACCTGTGCAGGTTGTGATAGTTGTGGTGTTAGCTACCTGTGCATGTTGTGATGGTTGTGGTGTTGGATACCTGTGCAGGTTGGGATAGTTGTGGTGTTGGCTACCTGTGTAGGTTGAGATGGTTGTGGTGTAAGCTACCTGTGAAGGTTGTCCTGATCCATGTTGCTGAAGCCCAGAGGAGAGTCAGTCAGCTGTTCAGTGACAGCCTGGGGGTCCTTTGTGTCCAGGACCTCGTTGAGCACGGCCACCGCAGACAGCATCTCTACTGCCACACACAGCTCCTCATGCCCCAGTCCTGCCTACTCAATACAATCAGACAGAAGGCTCAGTGACCATATACGGCATACACACCTGGACAGACACACAACTGTCTGCACACCGGCCAACCAAGATAGGGAAATCTATTACTACTTTGTTGTGTCAATCAGCACCCGCTCACAACAATACAGCATTATATCATAGCTTAAAATAGGAAAGTGTAATTTGAACTCAAATGTGTGTGTGTTAGTGTGTGTATGCCTGCGTGCGTCACCTTTGCCCCCTGTATCTGCAGGCTGAATAGTTCGGTCTGGTAGAGGTTGGCAGCTGTCTGGTAGACAATAGGAAGCTGGGCCTCTGGGTTCATCAGCACCTCCACCGTCTCTGCTGCTACGCCATGACGAATGGCCGCGTTGATCAATGCAATGGCCTCCAGTTCTGAACAGGAAAACCATCATACTCATCAATCTTTTTATAATGCAGATTGCAAAGGATTAGCAACCTACAAATACCCAACAAACACATTTATTCTGATGTAATTCATATAAATTACTGGAATGGGAGGTGAGGGGTGCTTACTTCGTTTCTCTGCCTCAGCAAAGTCGTTACTGGAGCTGACCACCCTCTGAATCTCCTCCCTCTGCAGCATCACTGCACCTCCAGCATCCTGAGGTCCAAGGAGAAAGTGTTTGGGTGACAATTCAATAGAAAAATCCTGGTTCTGTAACACTAATGTAACTTTAATCAACGAATAAAGTCTGCCATCATACACTGTTGAAGGCAAAAACACATCTACACAGTGTGTTAGTATTCTCCTTTCTTTTGACAGGATACCTTCTATACCCGACACCTGTAAAACCTACTAGACATGCGTCCCCTACTTTGACCACTGGCCTTACTGACCCGAGCCTTGACTTGGCAGTAGGAGGTTAAGTGCTCCAGGTACCAGTGGGAGTTGGCCTCCTGGACCCCCAGCATCCCCAGTGCGGGCACCCTGAGCCCAGCCAGCAGAGCAGCCTCGTCCTGGGCAGAGATGGCCTGGTTCACCTGCCGCACCGCCACCTGGGCTGGAGAGACAGACAGGAGGGAGCAGGGGTTGGATGGAGACACTGGCCACATCCCAAATAAATTACCCCCCCCCCGGCCACTACCTCTTGACCATGGGTGGAGGGCCGAGAGTCTGCGGATTTTCACTCCTCCCTTGTACTTGATTGATTAAGGTCATTGATTAGTTAGGAACTCCTCTCACCTGGTTGTCTAGGTCTTAATTGGACACAAATTGAGAAAAAATAACAAAAAGCACATGGCCCTACAGGAATTGAGTTTGACACCCCTGCTCTAGACATTCTGAAGGCCTATCCTAGAGATGTTCAGAATAGAACTGAGGTCATAAGACAGGAACTGTTGTTACTGTTAACGAAGTCAATGCAGCTCTGGATCTCCTGCTGGGTCAGCAGCTCCTCATAAACATCTCTCTCCTCTGTGGCTACAGATGAGCGCTGAGCAGGGAGACAAGAGAAAAGCATTGTGTTAGACGGACTAAGGATAATGCGAGATTCTGGCAATCAAGCCGTTTTTCTACTTAACCAGAGTCAGATGATCTCATGGATACCATTTTTTTTGCATGCTAGCTATATCGGTAGACTTCCAGTCATTGCTCTAATGCTAGTTACTTCCTTCACACTGCATGGAAAGACATAAAGATGTTATCCATGAGTTCATATCGCACTATCCCTTTACGTTTTTAAAAAATGTTGTGCATATTGAAACTAAATCTGTAATGCTAAAATTGTTGATCATCTGGCCATCATATTAACTTTAGATTTCATGACTTTGCTGAAAAAAATTGTAAATTAACAGAGTTAGTGAGGAGGATGGGAGGAGAGATGCCAGTTTGTGTGGGAAGACGAGTGTTGTAGTGGGAGTTCCGCTGACGCTGCAGCCACTGGAATGTCATGGCAAGTGTTTCAGGTGGTAGTCACTGCATACAAGACTCATATACTACCAATTCTCACTACATCTCTGCCTGGTCTAAGAGGTTTCTGTTCACAACAGGATCAAGTTGCTGATCCAAGGTCAGTTTAGAAAATTCTACCCGGAATCAGGGCCCATAGGTCTCTGTTCAAAAGCAGTGATCTTGAAAGGGAATAGGATGCCATTTGGGACACAACCTTGTCTGAGAGTTCCTCACCCTGCCTGAGGCCTGGTCCTCCTTGCTGGCCTTGGCCCGGCTCAGTGTAACCTGGTAGTCCTGGGCCAGCTCTTCCCCAGTGTTCCTCAGCATGGCGTTGGGGTTCTTCAAAGCCCCCATGGTCACTGACGCCTCACCCTTATCCACCGCCTCGTTGATGGCAAACACAGCAGCATGCACTGGGGACAGAGGCAAGAATAAGTCCCACTCAGCAGCAAACATGTCTGTCTATCTATGTCCGTCTATCATACTTTTGTTGAAGCCCAGCACTAACACAACATATTCAATTAATCATCAAGGCCTGGATTAGCTCAAATCAGGTATTTTAATGCTGGGCTGGAACCAAACCCTGCACACCCTATGGGTCTATTCAGGAGCAGAATAGAAGACCAGTGGTCTCCAGAGGTAATCCAGTGGATGGAACAGTGTACTGTACTACTCACAGGCTGCCTCGTCCACTGAGAGCTCGTTGGCCAGGATGCCTCCTATCTTACTGAAGGTTGGCATCTGGATGCCGTACTTCTCCAGCTCACTCCGCATGTTACTGATCTCCTCCTCTGTGGGACAGACAGGAACACATTACAACAGGTCAGCCAAACTGGCACAGCAGGAAACTCTATACCCTAGGAGCACAGGAGGTTGGTGGCACCTTAACTTGGGAGAACAGGCTCGTGGTAATGGCTGGAGCGGAATAGGTGCAATGGTCTCAAATACATCAAACACATGGTGTTTGATTCCATCCCATTTGCTCCATTCCGGCCATTATTATGAGCCGTTAGCAGCCTCCTGTGCCCAGGAGAGGGACTGCTCATTCACTAGCAACCTATATAACATCAAGACACACTGGAGATTGTAAAACAGAATGGTAAAGAGATGTTTGGTCCTTCACACTTCACTCATATCAACCACGGTACAATCATACTGATCTCCACAGTGCTTATTGAATTGAACACGCAGCTGGGTGTGAGTGATGACAATCTGTTTCAATAAAAACCAAACATGAGCACCAATTATGTGTCATTACCACCCACACGTGCAAGCCAAGCCAATTTAAATGAGTCTTCAGAAAAGCCCTGAGGCTCATGTTTTCCTTTAGTTTCAAAAAGGGAGGTAGTAATCACTAGAGCGGTTCCTCCTTCACTACAACGCTGTATGTTATGTTAGTGTTCATTCTGGAGCAGTTAGCTAAATGCAACATGCTCATTATACTATAATACCACTATACAGCAACATGTTCCTACAGGTTCAAGGACCCAGCCTCCAGTTCAAACCTGGCTGGTGCCAGGCAGGGAAGAACACCATGGGTTGACTTTAGAGTACAGGATGAACTCCAGCTATGGCTCTTATGATCCCTCTAACTATCATGATAGACTAGTAGAGGTGGTGTAGCCTGGTCTTACCTGTGAAGGCCACTTTCCCCAGCAGGTCCTGGATCTGTGGTGCAATGCCCAGTTTGAACAGGTATAAGCTGAGGGGGGGGGAGGTTATGTTACATTTAAATTACATTTTGGACATTCAGCAGAGCTAGTTCTATTCAGGTTATGCTTCAAGTATCCTGGAGAATATCTGCCTGGGGGTTTAGGGAAGGAAAGGTATGAAGCTCCAAACTTCAATGAATTAACTGATCTAGATTTAAATGGTTAGGAAGAAAGGGTAGCAAGCTGAAGCTAAGATGTGGCTATGTATATTCAATAACTCACAGAGGCAGGGGAAACATAATTTACAAACATCTATACATCTGCATCCATCTACACTTCTGCCGAGCTTGAATACTTTGGAAATGCATCCTTCCTCTTGCCTTGGGTTAGCAAGGAATCTATCATATTGTTGAAAGCATGTCAATCTGATCAGTGATGACTTCAAGGAAATGAGGAAGGAAGGATGACTCCCAAAATGAACTTGAAACAGCCATCTGCTCCAGACCGAACTAGGAGAGCATCGGCCAAATAAACTGCAATGTCCCCTTCTCCCCACAGGGAGGCATTGCGTGCTCAGAGAAAGCAGCTGCCAGAATCATGACATGCAAACTGCACTGTCCTGAGCCCAGTCAGCCTGAAACTAACCTAACGTAGCAGGCGTAGAAAGACACCTGAGCGGAGTCCCCATTTGAAATGGAAGTTCGGTTGAAAATACTGTATCCCTGAAAACCAGAAATATCCGCTTTCTGCCAACGCCACTAACTAAGGTTGGCCTGAAACAAACAGGTGGCTGGAAACTGCATCTTTTATCTGCCAGCAGGTTCCTGATAAGTTGGCATTCATTATATTGGGCTAGTGCCTGTAACTGTGTGTATGAGGAGGCTATGATAGTGCTATGCTAGCCTCTAAACTCTGAGTTTGTGTGTGTGTAAACAGGGACACAGGTCTCTTCCTTAGGGCTTAATACGTTGTTAACCATGACTGGCTGACTGGCTGGCTGGCTAACTCAGCCCTGCAGTGAGATAAACAGCTGATTGAGACTGAGGCTAATGATGGAGACTTTATTAGATCATCCTGCTGACTTGGCCGATAAGGCAGGTAGGAAAGACAAGGAACAACAACATCCTCCTTCCTTTCCCTCCACACAAAACACACACTCCCCCTCTCTTCACACACACGCATACACAAAATGTGACACCATCACCAACATACACACGGGTACCCATGCATGCCCAACCAATCCCATCAGATCCAGAGTGAATATTTATGTTCAGTTTCCATTCTATTGTGGTACCTTTCAATTTTTCCACTGTATTGAATTCTCAACAAAGACAAAAGACCCACTAGCCCAGTGTGTCTACTTCTCCTCAGAGCTAGTGTATTCCCTGGCTCCCAGTGGGGGTTAGACCGGCCTGCCAGGAAGGAAGATCACGTGTGTGTGTGTGTGTGTGTGTGTGTGTGTGTGTGTGTGTGTGTGTGCGCGCACAGGCAGGGAAGGAAGCTGATCCTCATGGGCCCTGACCAAAAACAAGCCAACTAGCTAACACATTCACTCCAATTCTCTGTCACATTCAGATGCATATACGAGCCACCCTTTTCTGTACACATGACAGTGTACATGACATAGCTGTATACATGACAGTCAGTGTGGGCACAGAAAGCAGAGCCCGGTTAAAGAAAACTGTCAGTACAAAACCACCTACTAATAGTGACACCATTGACATCACACAATGACAAAATGTCACTACAGAGCTGTTACTTTCTACTACTACCACCACCACACTATGACAGCAGACTGGAGACTGCGGTGGTCTCAAATGGCCCTATGGGCCCTGATCAAAAGTAGTGCACTAAATAGGGAAAAGGTTTCCATTTGGGATGCACCCTGAGTGTAGGCTTGCCTGTTTATTTTCTGAACATGTTAACAGGGTGTGTCTACCACAGTATGCAGGGATATCAGTTATTCAGTGTTCAAAAGCACGGGACAGACAGCCGTTAGTTACAGTACATTGCTGGACCTTAGCCCTCTGTCAAGCCTGTGTGATGTTTATGATCGCACAGTCAATAATCAGGACATGAATCAATCATGACCTTCAACACACTTTTATACCATGAATGAAGTTTTTCAACAGTTATGCCTCTTAGTATAATAATCCAAGGCCAGTGAGTGTCAAACAGGTGTGAACCTGCAATAACAACATTATGTTGCCATAACAACATTACGTTATATAACATTATGCTATATAATGTGTGTGTGATGCATATAGAGAAGAAATCTGGAGGACGTGGAGTTAAATCCCTCTGATCAGGATGACCATTTCCAGTTCCTCTTTTATATAATCAAATCAAATTGTATTGGTCACATACACGTGTTTAGCAGATGTTATTGCGGGTGTAGCGAAATGCTTGTGCTTCTAGCTCCGACAGTGCAGTAATATCTAACAAGTAATATTCACTTGTTCTCTTTGCAAGTTAGGATTGCACATGAAAAGAAAATAGGCTTCAGATAAAGATGGCACTAGGCCTATTAATTAAAAAACTAAAAAGCTGAGTGAGAGACATGCCCTTCTACCCCAGCTTCCAAAACAACATCAGGCTTTCCTTCTAGAGCCTAATGATATCATGTGTGAGAATGACATCATTGCCATCACTTGTAGACCTGGACAATATTATCAAAGGAGACACTAAATGGCTTGAGACAGCCTAGGCCTATATATTGAAACTGTCTGTAGACAGGAAATTACTCAATGTGTACAGGAAGTCACCTCATCAGTTCCGAGGGTGTATCTAGCGTTGCACACGCATATCCATGCTAACATACAAAAACAACAGTACGTGTGTGAAATGACTGCATATTGCCACACCTTTGTTACTAAAATGTTGAAGATGGCACGTTTTAACCACAAACTGAAACCAAAAGCACCACAGCCTAGAATAGTTTCAGGTCAAGTTTTACCATTTTCATCCAGCCTTTTTCACGTCTCTTGGTTCACACAATCTTTTTCAAATGATCCTGAAGTCCCCTATAGACAGTGATATCATGTGATCTGCTTTTAGGACTCTTCAAACCTCAGAAGATGAGATAAAAACGTACAGTGCATTCGGAAAGTATTCAGACCCCTTGACTTTTTCCAAATTTTGTTACGTTACAGCCTTATTCTAATTATTTTTATTTTTTAATTATGTTCCTCATTAATCTACACACAATACCCCATAATGACAAAGCAAAAACACGTTTTTAGAAATGTTTGCAAATAAAAATAAAAACAAATACCACTTTTACATAAGTATTCAGACCCTTTACTCAGTACTTTGTTGAAGCACCAGATTACAGCCTCGAGTCTTTTGCGTATGACACTACAAGCTTGGCACACCTGTATTTGGGTAGTTTCTCCCATTCTTCTCTGTAGATCTTCTCAAGCTCTGTCAGGTTGGTTGGGGAGCGTCGCTACACAGCTATTTTCAGGTCTCTCCAGAGATGTTAGATCGGGTTCAAGTCTGGGCTCTGACTGGGCCACTCAAGGACATTCAGAGACTTGTCCCGAAGCAACTCTTGCGTTGTCTTGGCTGGGTGCTTAGGGTCATTGTCCTGTTGGAAGGTGAACCTTCGCCCCAGTCGGAGGTCCTGAGCGCTCTGGAGCATGTTTTCATCAAGGATCTCTTTGTAATTTTTGTAAATAAGATATTTCTAAAACCTGTTTCACTGTCATTATGGGGTATTGTGTGTAGATTGATGAGGACATTTTTTTTATTTAATCAATTTTAGAATAAGGCTGTAACGTAACAAAATGTGGAAAAAGTCAAGGGGTCTGAATACTTTCTGAATGCACTGTAGATCTCCACAATATAAAGTGCAGTCAAGAAACAGAAACAAGAAATAGACTATTGTGTGGTAGATACAAAGAGTAAGACACATGATGTAAGCAGTAAGCCTAAAGGGGGAGAGGGGGGGATGGTCAGTCAGAGACAAAAAACACCTTGTGTTGGAATTCTCTGTCTTACCTTAATGCGTGTATGCAGTACACTACCTTGGGCATGTTTTTGCGATCGTACACATCTGTCGTTTCGGGATAGAATATCTGAAAGTAGAAACCATAGGAGGCATTAGTCATGGATCTTTCATTAGTGTCTTCTGATACCTTGTTTAGTGCAGCAGCCAAGGAGGCATAGTGAGCACACTACATCTTTCAGGCTGTCAGTTTCATTTTCAAGCTGTGGCAGTCTGACACGATTCCTCTGTTTCCTCCTGGCCACTGCCACACACCTTTAGTTGGTGTAATACTTGCCTTTGGGTGTATTACAGTGTGTGCTTCCTTTCTCACTATACATTCAGTACATCTGGCTGCTGTGTATGTGCATGTGTTTTCTCAAAAGGGAACAGCACTGCTGAACAACAGTGAAGGGAACAACAGTGAAGCAACCTATTCCCCTGCCCTGATCATTCTTGTGAATTAAAATGATTAGAGAAACATTTTAATCCATCAATAATGACAAGAGCCCATAATAACCATATGAATAAACAATGTCTCATATTCATTAGTTGTCTGTCTACTCCTAAAGATTCTGCTTCCCCCAAAACAGAGGAATTGATCATCAAACAAGTATCTCCAGAGCGGTTCCAGTGTTACCATCACATGGCATGACAATAAGGTGTTAGCATTCTCCATATCATCTCCAGAGGAAACACCTTTTGTCCCTACTCATAAAAGATACATTGGTGCTGATAACACTATTAGTGGTAGCAATAGTAGTACAGCCACCATAGCTACACCCTCCTAGCGTGGGTCTCAGGCCTCTCATAAGAAAGCAGTAGAGTGGCGTGCTTTATTTACCTGGCCCAGTGAAAGTCTCATAAAGGTGTATGTGTATGTGTGTGTGTCATTTGACTTAGTAAACTCTGTCATAAAACAGGCAAATCAACCTTGTGATATCACCAGTTACTACCAGGTTATGATACTGTATGCCACTGGTAGGAGGGACTTGGGCAGTGTGTGTGTTAGTCTTACCTTGGGCAGCCCTACAGATTCCATGGCCCGTAGCCACTGCACCGTGTTGTCTGTGTGTCTGAAGTGAAGTCCTGTGTGCTGGAGACAAAATCAGACAAAAGAGAAACATTAGATACCAGCAACGGAGTCTGTTGTGTATATCACAAATAGCATGTTTTTGGTTGGAAACGCACGCGCACGAAAAGATGAGGGAGAGTGTGTGAGTGTGTTGTGTCAGCACAGCTGCTGGCTGTAGGGGGGGTTGCTATCTCTCTGTCCCATGGGAGATGGTTGACAGGAAGTGGAAATGTCTGCGATGGATCTGGGATTAGACACTTCCTGTCTTACTCCATGGAGGTGGGGGGGGGGGGACTAGATAGAGGGGAGTAGGTATGGGGGAGAGGGGAGGAACTAGATAGAGGGTAGGAGGTGTGGGGGAGCGGGGAGGAACTAGATGAGACGAGGTGTGGGGCAAGAGAGGAGCTAGATAGAGGGGAGGAGGTGTGGGGAGAGGGTAGGAACTAGATGGCGCCCACTGCTGCCCAGATTTGTGGACCTGTGTGTGTGTGACAGTTTTATTCAGTATCCTAGTAATCTCTGAAGTGTAAGAGTATCCCATGGTATGAGGACAAAGGTCACCTTGTAGCGGGCCTGGTCCCTGTCGTAGATCTTCTTCTCAGACACCATCTTGGGGGCGAAGAACTTGGCCAGTTTTCCAAGGTAGACTCCGTTCCTCAGACCTTCCTCTAGCTCTGTGGTGGGGGGCAGCTCCTCCTCTACGCACGCCTCCATCCACCTGGGGATACGCACAAACACTGATCTCAGAACAGAATGGCAACCATGGAAATAAAAATAATACTTCCTGCTTTGCTCCTTTGGGGGCACTCATAATGGCTGCCAGTCCAACCATTATGGCATAATTGACCTGGGGATGCCCGTTCTACTAATTCTATGACGGCATCATCTGTTCAGTCATTTATATGGAGACGATTGGAACAAAAACTGAGGGATCCCACAACAAAATGGCCACATCTCTCGAGTCATTCATATGGAGCAATAGGGAAGAGACACTGATATCACAACAGAATAATACTGTTATTTTTCTAGAAACACGGGCCTAAGAACTGCATAGGTTCATTTAACTATCACAGCTTTGAGGAGCTTATGGATAAGGTCATTTCCATGTAAAAGGACCCATGAGCACCAACATGTGAAGTTCATAGGTGCATATCAAATTGGGTGTCAAATGAAGGCTAAGAATCTATATTTTTGGGAAATGAAAGCAAAGATACATTTTCAATCCTAAAAATAAGGCCCAAGTAATGGCTTTGATTTCTGGTCAAACATATGGAAAAGAGGACTTAGAAAACATCTACTAGAAAAAGCCTTAAAAGGAATTAGACATTTACAAAACACACTAATATCAACACTTATATTTCGTTTTGGATCAATTATTTCTGTAAGTTTAAGAATCATTGCCTTGTGCCTTGTAATTCCGTTACCAAAAACCCACACACAGGCCTACCAATTAGTTTGTGTTTTTACTGATATAAATGATTATAACTCATAATTCTGTTTCCAAATTGGAATTAATGCGATTTAATTGGCTACAATAGGAAATCATTGTAGTCACAAAACACAGTTGGTCACCTGCTACTGTCCTCCCTTCCACTGGCATACTGTTGTTCAGCTCATAACTGTTTTCTTTCTCTTTCTGTCATCTGGTGGTAAAAGCAAGAGTGTAAAAACACTCTCCCTCGCTCTCTGACTCTGCCTCGCTCTACTCTATCTCTCCAGTTAATGTTACCTCTCCCGGCTCTTAATGACACCTACCCATGAGCCCCCTCTCTTTTCATTTAGTGTAAACCAGCATCTGCACCCACTGAACACCGACAGACACCGGACGTTCATGGACGTTGAAAAGTAGTTGAAGGTCGGTCAGTCCGCACTGGCCTTGATTTCAATGTCCATAGACGTTGTTTTTGGGCCGGTCCGGAAAGGCCTTGATTTGGCCCAAACATAGACATCCATGATCTGACATCTGAACCAGTCATAGATGTCCATGTTTCACAGGTTTAGACAGCACATTACAGCACAGTGAAGCAAAGCACAGTAGAGTACAGTAAAGAAAAGTAGAGTACAGTTCAGTACAGTAGGCCTATAGTAGAGTGCAGTACAGTACAGCACACTAGAGTAGAGTACAGTATAATGTACTCTACCGTACAGTACTGTACTCTACTGTACTCTACTGTCCTGTGAAGTCCAAACTTGTGAAACATAGACGTCCATGATTGGGTCAGTTTTGGTCTTGTTTAGGGGCGAAGCTCATTAGAATAATAGCCAGTGTGTAGAATAATACTCGTATAGTGCATTCGGAAAGTATTCAGACCCCTTGACTATATCCACATTTTACGTTATAGCCTTATTCTAAAATAGATTAAATTGGGTTTTTTCCTCATTAATCTACACACAATACCCCAGAATGACAAAGCAAAAACAGGTTTGTAGAAATTTGTGCAAATGTATATAAAAAAACTGAAATATCACATTTACATAAGTATTCAGACCCTTTACGCAGTACTTTGTTGAAGCACCTTTGGCAGCGATTACAGCCTCGAGTCTACTTGGGTATGACGCTACAAGTTTGGCACACCTGTTTTTGGGGAGTTTCTCCCATTCTTCTCTGCAGATCCTCTCAAGCTCTGTCAGGTTGGATGGGGAGCAAAGGGTGGCTATTTGAAGAATCTCAAATATAAAATATATTTTGATTTGTTTAACACTTTTTAGGTTACTACATGATTCCATATGTGTTATTTCATAGCTTTGATGTTTTCACTATTATTCTACAATGTAGAAAATAGTAAAAATAAAGAAAAACCCTGGAATGAGTAGGTGTTCTAAAACTTTTGACCAGTAGTGTATATAAAAATAGCCACTCTTTAAATTGATGACAGCTTTGCACAGTCTTGGCATTCTCTCAACCAGCTTCATAAGTTAAATTTTTTTTTTTTTATTGAGATGGTTTGGGATGACCGCAGAGTGAAGGAAAAGCAGCCAACAAGTGCTCAGCATATGTGGGAACTCATTGAAGACTGTTGGAAAAGCATTCGAGGTGAAGCTGGTTGAGAGAATGCCAAGAGTGTGCAAAGCTGTCATCAAGGCAAAGGGTGGCTATTTGAAGAATGTCAAATATAAACATATATTTTTATTTATTTAACACTTTTTTGGTTACTACATGACTCCATGTGTTATTTCATAGTTTTGATGTCTTCACTATTATTATACAATGTAAAAAATAGTAAAAATAAAGAAAAACCCTTGAATGAGTAGGTGTGTCCAAAACTTTGACTGGTAGTGTATCCACAGTTGAAGTCGGATGTTTACATACACTTAGGTTGGAGTCATTAAAACTCGTTTTTCAACCACTCCACAAATTTCTTTTTAACAAACTATAGTTTTGGCAAGTCGGTTAGGACATCTACTTTGTGCATGACACAAGTAAATTTTCCAAAAATTGTTTACAGACAGATTATTTCACTGTATCACAATTCCAGTGGGTCAGAAGTTTACATACACTAAGTTGACTGTGCCTTTAAACAGCTTGGGAAATTCCAGAAAATGATGTTATTGCTTTAGAAGCTTCTGACAGGCTAATTGACATCATTTGAGTCAATTGGAGGTGTACCTGTGGATGTATTTCAAGGCATACCTTCAAACTCAGAGCCTCTTTGCTTGACATCATGGGAAAATGAAAAGAAATCAGCCAAGACTTCAGAATTTTTTTTTAGACCTCCACAAGTCTGGTTCAACCTTGGGAGCAATTTCCAAACGCCTGAAGGTACCACGTTCATCTGTACAAACAATAGTACGCAAGTATAAACACCATGGGACCACGCAGCCGTCATACCGCTCAGGAAGGAGATGCGTTCTGTCTCCTAGAGATGAACGTACTTTGGTGCGAAAAGTGCAAATCAATCCCAGAACAACAGCAAAGGACCTTGTGAAGATGCTGGAGGAAACAGGTACAAAAGTATCTACAGTGGGGAGAACAAGTATTTGATACACCGCCAATTTTGCAGGTTTTCCTACTTACAAAGCATGTAGAGGTCTGTAATTTTTATCATAGGTACACTTCAACTGTGAGAGACGGAATCTAAAACAAAAATCCAGGAAATCACATTGTATGATCTTTAAGTAATTAATTTGCATTTTATTGCATGACACAAGTATTTGATCACCTACCAACCAGTAAGAATTCTGGCTCTCACAGACCTGTTAGTTTTTCTTTAAGAAGCCCTCCTGTTCGCCACTCATTACCTGTATTAACTGCACCTGATTGAACTCGTTACCTGTATAAAAGACACCTGTCCACACACTCAATCAAACAGACTCCAACCTCTCCACAATGGCCAAGACCAGAGAGCTGTGTAAGGACATCAGGGATAAAATTGTAGACCTGCACAAGGCTGGGATGGGCTACAGGACAATAGGCAAGCAGCTTGGTGAGAAGGCAACAACTGTTGGCGCAATTATTAGAAAATGGAAGAAGTTCAAGATGATGGTCAATCAGAAGGATTACTTTATACTATTCCAGGTATTCCTTAAAGAGGTAGGGTTTCAAGTGTCTCCGGAAGGTGGTCAGTGACTCCGCTGTCCTGGCATCGTGGGGGAGCTTGTTCCACCATTGGGGTGCAAGAGCAGCAAATAGCTTTGACTGGGCTGAGCGGGAACTGTGCTTCTGTAGAGGTAGGGGAGCTAGCAGGCCAGAGGTGGATGAACGTACTGCCCTCGTTTGGGTGTAGGGTCTGATCAGAGCCTGAAGGTAAGGAGGTGCCGTTCCCCTCACAGCTCCGTAGGCAAGCACCATGGTCTTGTAGTAGATGCGAGCCTCAACTGGAAGCCAGTGGTCATTATATTCCAAAAACGAGTCCTATATCGACATAACCTGAAAGGCCGCTCAGCAAGGAAGAAGCCACTGCTCCAAAACCACCATAAAAAAGCCAGACTACGGTTTGCAACTGCACATGGGGACAAATATCATACTTTTTGGAGAAATGTCCTCTGGTCTGATGAAACAAAAATAGAACAGTTTGGCCATAATGACCATCGTTATGTTTGGAGGAAAAAGGTGGTAGCTTGCAAGCCGAAGAACACCATCCCAACCGTGAAGCACAGGGGTGACAGCATCATGCTGTGGGGGTGCTTTGCTGAAGGAGGGCCTGGTGCACTTCACAAAATAGATGGCATCATGAGGAAGGAAAATGATGTGGCTATATTGAAGCAACATCTCAAGACATCAGTCAGGAAGTTAAAGCTTGGTCGCAAATGGGTCTTCCAAATGGACAATGACCCCAAGCATACTTCCAAAGTTGTGGCAAAATGGCTTAAGGACAACAAAGTCAAGGTATTGGAGTGACCATCACAAAGCCCTGACCTCAATCCTATAGAAAATTTGAGGGCAGAACTGAAAAAGCGTGTACGAGTAAGGAGGCCTACAAACCTGACTCCGTTACACCAGCTCTGTCAGGAGGAATGGGCCAAAATTCACCCAATTTATTGTGAGAAGCTTGTGGAAGGCTACCCGAAACGTTTGACCCAAGTTAAACAATTTAAAGGCAATGCTACCAAATACTAATTGAGTGTATGTAAACTTCTGACCCACTGGGAATGTGATGAAAGAAATAAAAGCTGAAATAAATCTCTACTATTATTCTGACATTTCACATTCTTAAAATAAAGTAGTAATCCTAACTGACCTAATACAGGGAATTTTTACTAGGATTAAATGTCAGGAATTGTGAAAAACTGAGTTTAAATGTA